TTGTGAAAATGGCCATACTTCCAAAACTGCTATATAGATTTAATGCAATGCTGATTGAAATTCCAACAATATACTTCACAGAACTAGAGACAACAATCCAAAAATTCATTTGGAACCAGAAGAGACCTAGAATAGCAGAAGCAATTCTAGGCAACAGAGACATGGCAGAGGTTATCACAATTTCCAACTTGAAACTATACTACAAAGCTACTGTGATAAAAACAGCACGGTACTGGCAAAAAAACAGACTCGAGGATCCATGGAATAGATTAGAAGATGCAGAAACAACTGCAGACATACTCAGCCACCTCATCTTTGACAAGGGAGCCAACCACTCTCACTGGAGGAAAGATAGCCTATTTAATAAATGGGGTTGGAAAAACTGGATTTCAACCTGCCAAAGATTAAAACTAGCCCCATATCTATCACCATGCACTAAACTAAGATTAAAGTGAATTAAAGATCTAAATATTAAAACAGAAACACTAAGGGCTGGGGATTTAGCTCAGTGGTTCCAGTGCCTGCCTCGAAGGCACAAGGTCCCGAGTTCAATCCCCAGTACCAAATAAAACAAAAAACAAAAAACAGAAACTAAACTTGCTGGAAGATAAGTTAGGAAGAACTCTTGAAGATATTGGCATAGGGGGCTGGGGATTTAGCTCAGTGGTTCCACTGCCTGCCTTGCAAGTGCAAGGTCCCAAGTTCGATTCCAGGTACCAAAAAAAAAAAAAAAGATATTGGCATAGGAAAAGACTTCATGAACAAAACCTCAGTAGCATGGGAACTAGAACAAAGAATCAATAACTGGGATCTCATCTTATTAAAAAGCTTCTGCACTGCAAGAGAAACAACCAACAGAGCTAACAGACAACCTACAATGTGGGAAAAAATTTTAGCAGCTGTACCTCAGACAAAGGGCTACTATCTAGAATATATAAAGAACTGAAAAAAATCAGACTCGCCAAATTCAAAGACCCAATTCAAAACTGGGCATCTGATATGAACAGACATTTCTCAGACAAAGAAGTAAAAGCAGCAAATAAACATATGAAAAAATGTTCAAC